CGCTTGTCTGCTGATAAATCCAGAAATGTTACAGGTCAAAAAGTAATACATTGGTTTTGGGGACATGCCGATTTACGGAAAAATAACGCGTTTTGTGGTTTATTTAAGTTGTGTGCCTTAAGAAGCAAAACAAAGTTTTCCTAAATTTTCAGCTAAAAGCTACAAACTGCTTCAACTGTTATTCTTTGGGTTCCTGCCATGTATCATAATGGTACTAGTACGTCCAATTTCTTCCTATTCAGGTTCTAAGGCGCGAGAGAACGATTTCAACCCCACCCAGTACCGTAACCCTGCAGAGTATATCAGTTTACTGGAACGAGCTGTTCTGCCAGCAGAAAACGGGAACGGTTCTTACGCCTTTGAAATGGTTCTGTCCAAAAACGTGCAGACGTATCTCAAGGTACATGCCTTATTTGTTTTGAGCGTGTAAAAGGGGGGTTAGGTTATTTAACTTAGATGTTTACAATTTTTGGTATTGTTGCTGTTGTTGTTGTTTTTACATATAAATATCCCTAGACAGAGACAGGGCCAGATGGAAAGAAGTGACTGTGGCCTTATGTCCCACACGGGACGAAGAGCATTGATGATGATGATGATCCCTATATAATAATGATAATTATTTTCTTTGTAATTTTGATTAAGACAGCTGTGCTTGATAAATAAAACTATATATATATATATATATTGCAGATCGCAATAGAATGTCTTTTAATTGATTTTGAAACTACCAAAAACATTTAAACCTTTTAATAAGCGAACAATACATCGTGAGGCAGTTAGGCAGTTTAATCATTTTGGCTTACCAACTATGTAATGTTGCTAAGAGATACATCAGCATATTTCATAGTATAGTATCAATATCTTTATATTTGCCGTTCTATCTAGATGAAGCAGAACAAGAACCAAGTCTGCTGGCTCCTGAAGAAAGTCCGCGTGGATACAGTGCACAACCATGGCTACAAGACATTCCAAGAATTCTTAGACACACAGCAATATTCCAGAAACAAAATCCTCACGTATGAGAAGATATTCGGAAGGCATTTTATCAGTACAGGAGGCAAGGAAACAACTGAGGTAAGCCTGTTCAAAACATTATTTTACATTATTTTTTAAAAATAATCGCCAAATTGTAATGCGCGAATATTGTAGAATTATGGTGAAAGGTAGTCATTGACATTTAGTTTGAGTGTAAAATTCTATATCCTTAATGCTTTTTATATAAGACAAAAATACTGAACTATACAGTATCATCTTGATAATATAATGACTGATTTTGAAATTCTTTGGTCTGAAGCATAATATAGTCTGTTTAACACTGTTCGTTTTTATAATCATGTGCATGCATGTGGAATTCTTTAAATACTTCCAGGAGTTTTGTAAAATGCTGGACCTCCAACCTGGTCAAAAAGTTCTAGATGTTGGATGTGGAATCGGCGGTGGCGCGTTCCACATGGCACAGGTGAGATACTGTACTGTTTCCCCCAAATATTTCTCCCAATATTATAAAATATTATATTATATTATATTATATACGTTGAAGTGCACCATCAAATATTGTTAAACGGATAGAATTGAATAAATTGAACTAGAAAGTCAGCACGTTTGGGCATGGGTATGACAGATAAAAATTATATGACGTCATTAATTGTTTTCAGAGATATGACGTCAGTGTTTTGGGAGTTGATTTATCAGAGAATGCAGTCAGCATAGCGTGGGAAAGATGTCTGGAATTCATGGATTCAAGGGTTAGTACTTTTCAAGCTACAAATACAGTATGCAATCATCAGTTTGTGTAAACCCAAAGAAGCATTGTCTATTTGTAGCAAGCACACTACGCACTGAATTTTTTTTTATTAAGCAAACAAATGTTGTAAAGTATTTTGTAAATTTTTTCAACGGTGTTCATTTTGATTTAATCAGGTCGAATTTGAAGTGGCCGATGCCACCAAGAGAGACTACCCCGTCGAATCCTTTGACGTCGTCTACAGTAGAGACACCATACTGCACATCGACGACAAGTTGGCGTTGTTTAAAAAATTCTACGTAAGATTTAAAGTAACATTTTATGAAAAAAAACAAGTTAGCTTTATTGATGCAAAACATCACTTTGAAAATAAGTGGACGGTTATCATCATTTTCATTTAAATGGTATTCATACTTACTTTTGCACTGTGAGACAAGGTGATTGTGTTCTTCGTTTTACCGTTCACCATTCAAATTTTAACATATTATTTTAATTTAGTATTTATTTCCCAGATTAAAAGTAAAAACTAGCTGGTACGTTAATAAGGAACCTATAATGCATTCTTTTAAGTTGTAGACCTGTTACATCACAGCATAAGGAAGATGTGTCACTGACCTGACCTCAGGTTAAACATACGAAGTACTTGTTAGAGATCCAACATGTTATAAAAGGACACATTGCGCATCGATAGAATTCAATCGTAAAATTCGTTTTGCTCCCTTGCTTCAATTAACATGATGTCGCTTTCATTTCTGTCCAGAAATGGTTGAAACCCGGTGGAAAGCTGTTCATTACAGATTACTGCTGTAGCGACGGAGAACACTCCAACATGTTCAAAGATTACGTGGAGCGACGAGGTTACATTTTGTATAGTCCGCCAAAATATGGAAAGGTGGGTCAGAAACGAAATTAACAGATAATGATGCATAACTATCACATCATTATCTCCACTTTTACAAACGATTTTTTTATGCCTTTGCATATTATCACACGTTCGGTCGGCAAATATGAAATATAAAACAGCTAGGGTAAGTTTACTGTAACATTTAGGGCACAGGGCTGGAAAAAATGTTTGGTTTATCATGCTACAGTTGTATATTATTATTATTATAATTATTATTATTGTTATTATTATTATTTGAATGATTAGAGCGAAAAGGGGGGATACCAATGTTATTAATTCCCAATGTCCCCTCTGGGTCCGCCTGTTTTTTCCTTTTATTGCCATTGTTTTAAATGATACCTTTGGCTAATGTCATGTACAGAACTTCAGTTCTTGTTAGTTATAATTTGTTATTGTTTTACTTTGTAGCCCTTTTATGAATGTTACATTTCTGTATCCTCACAAAATGTCATAAGTGAAAGTTCTTTTTCATTTATTTAGATAATAGAATCTGCCGGTTTTGTGAACGTGAAAGCAGACGACCGCACCACGCAGTTCTCAAACATTCTTCACAGGGAACTGGTCAGGTTTGAGGGGATGAAGGAAGAGTTCCTTCAGGTTAGTTCATCAGGCGTTCATCTCCTTAGCAATTTTGTTAACGGGTTTGGATAAAGTATACCTTGGCGATAAGGTAAACCGTGAAAGGTGTTGAAATTCCCAAGAAAAATTTTTTTCTATGTCAAAGTCTCGCTCACACTGTTGCCTTTAAAGTGTGTCCTCGAGTCACCAGCATAGAAGTCCCAGATTCTTACACTAATGTGATGCAGCTCACAGGCTTATTGGCTATACATTATCAGGGAGCTTGATATTTCCACACGGTGGAGATGTAATGTAACTGGCCCATGGGGTGTGGGCGAGGTTTGGTTATAACATATGTCCTGAAAAATATCTAAAATATGCCCTATTTCATTTAATATTCTGTTGCACACTTGCACTAAATGATAACGTTGTATTATTTAAACAGTTTAAAGAAAAAAAACACACAATTTTTGACCAATGTGTTGATGCACCTGGTGGCTCATTTTTCTTCTTTTATTGCAGGAATTTACCGAGGCTGATTACGAGTACATAACAGACGATTGGAAAACAAAATTAATACGCGTTAAGGAGGGTTCCGGTGAGCAGAGGTGGGGACTATTTTATGCGGAGAAGCCCAGGAGTTAATGACGTATCCCGGAACAATACTCTGACTTGCCATTTTATACGTCCAAAAAACCTATCATAATTTAGCTTTTCAAACCTGTGGATGCAGGAACGGTAATACTTGGAGTAACTTAAGTATTCGAACCAGTTCTGCAGTCGTTTCAGGGACCTCTGTGCCCATGCCTTCACCATGACAAAGTGTTTTTTTTGCAATTTTATCTTGATTTTAACTTAAACCTATATGTACAAGCCATTGCTAAGTGTCAAATTCAATAATCTGCATTATGTTTTTGATTTAACCCTGATATTTTTATCTAGATATTCACCTTGCACCTGCTGGTAGTGATACGTAGTATTATATGCTTTTTCATGACACATAACTTGAATCAACGTGTGGCCGTACATTTCACATAAGATGCCATTATATATGTGATAAAACATTGTAGATATACCTGTGTCGATTGTGCTTTTTGTTCCATTTGTACTAGTACACACGTGATTGTGGCAACGTGGAATGCGACAAAACTATGAGAATATTTTGATATGAATTTATTGTTTAAAAGAAATATATTTTGAATGTGAATAAAACACAAATGCTAAAGAACTGAAACTTGTTTTCCCTTGTCGCAGACAGAATTTAGATGTAATTATTCACAACGAGTTGCCCTGATCGCGGCACCGATTACCTCGATCCCATCGAGGCCAAGAACTCTTTGACATTTATGTGTCTTATATTTTAAGTAAAACAATCAACATTTCAAACAGTGGAACATGGTACCATGTACATGTTTCTATAATTTCTTTGACACCCTTCATATATGTTAGAACCCCAGCTAAAAAGCGACCAAATTAGCATAACTTTGTTGGAGATTTTCTGAAATGCCATGCAAAATATTTTTGTACAGATCATATTGTCTATGCGTATGTGTGCGGTGCGTCAGACAGAAATTTGATTGGCAGACTGTCTTTATTAACAGACTTCACGTATATTATATTATTATAGAAGCAATAAACGTGTCTTTCAAAAATCCATAACAGACACGCATTTATCCTTTAATGATTAAAAAATGGCAATGGCGCAGCCTCTGCTTCGCAGCCTCGTACTGGTCCAACTATCCCCAAGTCACGAATTGACTGATATCACGTTAGAGACTTACTGAGACACGTTGAAGTAAGGACAGGTGTTAGTCACAGGTGTACAACGGCAGCACTGCACGACAACCGTTACCCGAGCAACAACTGTACTAATTACTTGTTTGAAATCAACTCGGTTTCACAGAGTGTGGTAATTGTCATCTAGGAACAATGGCTTTATGTTTGGTGTTGGGTTTGGTTTTGGCCGGATTGGCATCCGGGCAAGATTCTCAGTTCGCCGGATGGTCACAGACTGACCTTGATGCGTACTGCATCCGGTTGACTGAAGTGGACCTGATTCGAAACCAGCTTGAGACGACAATGGCTGAACTTACAACATACAGAAACAAATACCAGAAAGCCGCCGCTATTGTTCGCCAAAGTACGTGGCAATTTTCATCGAACATTTGTGCTAGGTGATTCAGTTATACAAAAATAAATAATAGATTGTTACCGTTTCAGCACGATTCCATCCACCATTCTGTTCGTTTAGATTTACATCAATTTAAAACACGTTTAGAAATCAACCTACATAGAAAATAGTTAAAATGCAAATGAATAAAAAATGAAAAAGAATCAACTCTGCGCCAAAAATAAAGGCTCTCACTAATTTGTAAAACCAGTTTTTCTTCCAGTCCTATAAAATAATGGGCAATTATGTTATTACTTATAAAAAAATATTGGCATGTTATGATTCATATGGTATGTGTAGGCTGTTTCAATGATACATGAACTGTCCCTTTGAAGAGTTCTTGCATTTACAGGGTCTAGCTACCGTTTTCCTAGACCTCAGTCGACCTCGGGACGGTTACTTTTTAGAGCAAAACACGATACCCCTCTAACGTCTTTGACCGCCTGTGCATGGATGAAGACCGACTTTAAATGCGCTCCTAACTGTCACCTACTAACTGTGTTCTCGTACGCCCACAAAGCAAATTTCAACGGCTTCATCTTCGCATTCGATGGAAGCAGCTTTCAAATGCACGTTGAGAGTCAGGTGACGGTTTTCGGGAGAGGTAAAGTGTCTGGATTTCTGGATAACCAATGGCACCACCACTGCTTCAGTTGGAGCAACGCTGCAGGAAGTTGGAGATACGTCCGCGATGGGGCTTTGGTGGCAAATGGGACAGATCCAAGAACCAAAGGACGCATTATATCGGCAGGTGCGTTTAGCTGACTTTTGTATCTACATGTATTATTTATCCACTTACGGATCCAGAGTTTTGTTTTTACTAGGGGGGGGGGGGGGGAGAAAGAAGAGTGGAGGAAGAGTGAGGTAAACAGTAAAGCTATAACATGTAAGGTAAAGGAATGAGAAATTGTACTGATTGTTTGACCGTTTTGTCCCCTTTCGCTTGTTAAGTCATTTAGGAGAGAATGATGGGATATGGAAGTTCAAATCTAAAGCACATAGTGCAAAATCCGTATTTCTGCCAGCCTACTTTATTTCAAAAAATGATCAAGTAAAATGTTCCAGGTGGCATTTGGAGCGTTGGACAAGAACAAGACAGCGTTGGGGGCGGTTTTGAAACCACACAGGCATTTGTTGGCGACATCACACAGGTGCACGTTTGGGACACAGATAAAGTACAGCCGGCAGAGGTCGCTAAATGTGGAAGTGACCTGAAAGGAAATATAATAAGTTGGGGACAGGATCCTCTCGAAGAGAACAACTTGGCATCCTACCCGAACATCGACCCTTCTTGTGCGAAAGCGTCCTGTAAGGATAACTAGCAGGCAGTCTACTAAAATATTGATGATGCCATTTTATATGGCCTTGCTTGCTGTGTTACAATAAAATGCACTGCGTCTCAGATTTAGTTATTTAATGTCACCGTAATTGCCACACTAAAGGTAGAAAGACACTGTCTTCTCGAAGGATTAATGAGGAAGAAGCTTTGTTTCAAACATATCAATGTAATGTCAATGAAAATACCTGAAAATTTAAAGTGTGTAACATTTCATTCTTCGGTTGCGGTAGGTGAGATTTGCTGTCTTGTTTAGTTGCATATATGTCACACCCGGATGTGTTTCCATGGGAAAACGGAAGAATGTGACAGAGGAGCTGCGAAGTGTGTTGCAGATCGTGTTCTTATCCCATCATTATGTTTTACTTACCTTCTCACGCCTTTTTGCTGATACAACTATCTAACCATTCATATTCTATTCAACTATTCATAATACCAGTGAACAAATTAAGTAAATTAAAAATTAAGTGTGGCGGTGCGTGCGTAATCCATAGTAGACAAACTTTAACAAATGAACCTTCTGTTTTAAAACACATTTTAATCTAGAAACTTACTACAACTGCTACCTAATTTAGACTAAAACATTTGCTCTTTTATCATATAAATAAACTATACTAAATGATTAAACCAGCAAAAAATTCCTATTGTCTAGACGTGGCATGGAACGGGTCATCGTTCTTGCAAAAAAAAAAAAAAAAAAAAAAAAAAAAATTCAATAGCGTTTTATTGTCCTTACAGAGCACGTTTCGCTTGGACAGTTTACTGTTAGATAATCGGGCAAATCGATTTATTCCATGGTCACTTTTGAAGGGCAATTAATGTCGGAGTGAATCATTTCAAGTTGAACTAATCGTTTCGTACTCTTCGTCGTATCCGCCTTAGCTTTGCACTCTTGCCTGGGTTTGACTTAATTACTGGTAGCTTTCGTATCAGTGAGCAGTGAGATGCCGTTATACGCGATCATTCAAAACAAATCTGTTGGTGCTTTGAAAAACGCTATATAACACGAGTCTTAATTTTTTAAAATTTTTTATGTATTAAATTATCTAGAACATTGGGATGAACGTGCTTTCCGTCACCTCATCCAAACCTTATTCACACTGTCAAAATAAAATGCAAATAAACAAGCTCATTTGTACAGGAATACTTATATAATAGCATTTTTTCACACACAGAGAAATAAAAAGGCCTAATTAACGAGAGGCAGAAGATAACAGAAAATTACTACTGTTGACCTCAATAATGGCATGCCTCTACATGTACCAAAGACTGATTCGAAACATTTTAATAGCCAGGTTAACAAGAAAGAGGAAAATACATGACAATGCCTTTTTATTATCAATTTTCTTTTTATGTGTAATATCCACCAGTCCCTGTTGTCTTACATTATATTAATGGAGCAGTTTAACATAGAAAATAATCACATGTTCTTCGTAGTGAATCTCAATGTCAACAGCGGAATCTGTAATAGGTGGGTGTCAATGCCCGGAAAAGTGCTTTATGTAAGAAGTTTTGAGTCCCTTCTAAACACATTCCCAAATCATATACCAGTTGAAAACTCATAATCTGACAGTCAGAGTTAGCCATGATTTTAAAATGGCAGGTGACCTCATAACTGTGGAATCGGACATACTATAAGGTAAATGCTGTGAATGCTGCACCTTCTTTAAAGATATGAATAATAGTTAAAAGTAAACCAGTAATCTATGTATGGTGTGATCTTTTCATATTTTGTGATAAAGAAGATAATGGGCTTCAAATCCATATTTGAATTTCAAGAAGGCGGCGATTTAAAGATGTCCGCCATTGTTCATGAAAAATTGGTATAAAAATTTTATTTTATTCATATCTTAGAATTATACAAGCATTACATTATACAAGGTATACAAAGTTTCCATACATTATACAAAGTAGGCACTAATATCTCTAATTTGGCATTTGGTCAAATTTTGAGTATGTAAATGCAGTCAATTTTCATATATTCAACAAGGCCATCTTGAAATGCTAATATTTATAATGTGGAGTTTTGTTCACCCAATTGGCCATTAAAATTATTTTTCATACAAAATTTACATGAATAATTGTTCAATAAGTACCTTTCGACTTGGTTCTTCTTTCAGACATTTCAAATGGCCGCCATTTTTTATGGAATGTATTGTCCTATCAAAAACTACTTCGTGTATACATGTATACATGTTATACATTAGTTTCGGAGACATGTGGTGGCCTAATATTGCAGTGACTGAAAAATAATTGAAAGATGTTGGCTTACATTAATTTCTTTCTAATAATTGACATTTATGAATATTTTAATATCAAATTTTGGTATAAAAATATACACCTTAACTTAATTTTGCTCCATTATGACTACGTGTGTTAACAAAAACATATAACATAGAAATAGCCATCTCCCTTAAACCAGGTCCACCTACCCATATCGACATTGGCTACATTGTGCATTTGTTCATTAATAAATCTTTTGCATAAAATTGCCTGTGACCGGTCTGTATGCCGAAGACCGATATCTTCTGCTGTCCATGTATGGGGAATTACCTCAAAAAAGCAAGAATAATGTAACTTTTAGTGTTTCAAATTATTTATATGCCATTTTTGGTTCTAGCTTCCTTGTTGGGAAAATAATTATATACTTGAATTTCGTTATATGCTGACTTTTTGTTATTCGTTAAGAAACCGATTTATGAAACGAGTTTCTTAAGCCGTTTTGTACTTTTTCAGATTCATTCACAAATCAAGGTGGTAGCCGAGCGTAATTTGAAATTGTCAAATCAAATACATGCTATAATACAAAGCACCAATCTAATTTTAAAATACTGTTGTATCAGAAATAGATTTTGCAGATTTCGAGTGGACTAAAACTATCATGGCAACCACGTTTCCTAAAAAGGTGGTTAACATGTGTCATTAGTTTGCGAGATATATTTTTTCATTTTTCTCCTGATGCACTGTACAGTTTTTATATTGCTATGTACTGAAACATATGTGCTAACACTAATGATGTGAAAGCCGGTCATGTTATGCAATTTTCCTGTCTGTCAGCTAGGGGACCTGTTGACAGGCCAATTACTGGAAGCCGGCAATCACCTGATCTTTGACAGGTAAATAGTTGTGTAAGTCCATATTTCATTTTTATGTTTATTTTGCCATGACATCTTGTCACTGCTCATTACAACAATGCCTACATGGCTGCCGCAGCCTCCGATGCCCTGGCTTAGAACAGACAAAGGACAGAAAGGTGTGATCAGTTATATAGCTACTTTATCTGCCCTTTGGAAACCTCATAGGTAGAACCTCATATTTTGGGCTCGAGCCTTTATAATTTCTATAACGCTTTCTATAAGCATTAGTATTTTAATTTAAAAATGTCAATTATTAGAAAAACAGACATTAAAGCACATACCCTATGGTTGGTCTTCTCAATTAAGTAGATATAAGATTTTGCCCGTTTCCATGGTAACGTGACCACTTGGCAATGCTACATCATCTTCGAGGAGCAGATTCTGAGTTTTCAAATGATATATAATGTATGACTGTGTATGAAGGGAGACTAAATCTGCACATCTTTGCCATGTGCCGCTCACGAGGTAAAAAGGATGCGCGGCAAATGTCCTTTCCTCGTTGAACTATCAACACAAAAAATGCGTATCTCGAAGCATACCTTGATTGACAGAATCATTCTACTTATGTTATTAAAATAATATAATATTTTTCTCGAACTTGTTCATACAATTCGCGTTTGAAAATATCCAAAAACCGTACTTTCTATGTCTACAAACCCTGCCTTGCTATACTTGTCCTTCCTGATTTATACCATAAAAACAATAAGTCCCCTCAATTAAAAAGTACCTGATGTCGACATTTTCTTCCCAAACAACAGGAAGACACGGGGAAACATTTTGAACTAAATTTTTAATAAGAATAGTATTCAAGTCCTAGCGCAGGGACGGGTCGGGTAATGGTTATCGAATAAGAATTTTTCTCATTTGTCAAGGGTAATTCGCTTTAGTGGGAATATTCTTGATATGATATCTTTGACATTGTGCACGAACCACATATTTTCAAATGACAAATAAACAACAATATTTCAGTTAAAGTTCGATGACGTTTTAAAAGTATCATCTTTTATTTGGGCTAGTGTACAGACAAAAAGTGCTGTAATACAAAGAGTGCCAATGTGAGATTTCTACTGCCTGCGAGAAGCACCATACTGTTGCAGCGTACCCTGTTCTTACCTATAAATAAAACCAACATCTTCAATTTTGTGTTCCTTGTAGTGTGTTTTTTTTCTAATTCGGTGTGAAGTATACTTATTGGCCACTGGTAAACTGAAAAAAAATTGTTCTTCGTGGAAAGTTCATGCACAGCTTTATCTAAAAAAAAATGGATGCTTACATAAAAGTCCCTGTCACATCCCTGTTCATCAGTTGAAGGATCTGAAATTACCAAAGACGTAGTCATTATATCAATAATCAATAAGAAAACCAATGTAAATGTAATATACCATGCTAAACAGCCTTCTTTTTTAACATGTATATTACAGAAACGAGAGAGAGAGAGAGAGAGAGAGAGAGAGAGGAAAACAGATCTCTTCTGTCATAATGCCTCTTCACAGGAACACGCTCTCTATTGCTGTATAATGCCAGGGCCACCTCCAGGTAATGCTGACATTTTACGGAGGAAGTTTGAAAATTTTATAATCAGGCGTGAATGTCATATCAGTAATGAACCGTGTTGTCATTTTAGAAAGGAAGTGAAAATTATTGATTGTTCTTTTACGCCTTACAAGGGAGTGCAGGATCGTCCCTTGTACAGCACACTGAACCGCGCGGAGTGGCCCTCAAGGGGAGCGCATCAAACCGGAGGTGCAAAGAGAGAGAATATTTCCCCGCCACCAAGGACGAGCTGTCAGAAACAAGAAACCGACAGATTTGATAAGGGAATAAATAAGACTTAACAGGAGAAATGAAATCCTATTAGATATGTTATTACAATGAAGGATAATTCAATTCAAGGCGAGGACTATGTATTGAAGTCTGGAACCGTAATCTTGATAATTGTTTTAAAGCACAACCAGGAATTTTCATCTTCCAAGCAGAG